GTTTGATTTCTTGACTGCTGTTTCCATGAGTGTTAATAGTTGATCCAAGAAAAATGAAGTCCTTGACAACTTCAATCTTTTCTCCATTGATAAGAATGTTTATTGATCCAGTGGTGAGGATTTTTGTCTTCTTTACATTGAGATGCAATCCATACCGAAGGCTGTGCTCTTTCATCTTCATCAGTAAATGTTTTAAGTCCTTTTCACTTTCAGCAAGCAGGGTTGTATCATCTGCATATCGCAGGTTATTAATGAGTCTTCCTCCAATCCTGATGCCACATTATTCTTCATAGAACCTAGCTTCTCAGATTATTTGTTCAGCATACAGGTTGAATAAGTATGGTGAAAGAATACAACCTTGTCGCACACCTTTCCAATTTTAAAACATTCAGTGTTCCCATGTTCTGTTGAACAACTGCTTCTTTATCCAGGTACAGATTCCTCATGAGCACAATTAAGTATTCCGAAATACTCATTCTTCACAATGTTGTCCATAGCTTGTCATGATCCATACAATCAAAAGCCTTTGCGTCGTCAATAAAGCACAGGTAAACATCTTTCTGATATTCTCTGCTTTCAGCCAAGATCCATCGGACATCAGCAATGATAACTCTCGTTCCACAGCCTCTTCTGAATCCAGCTTGAACCTCTGGAAGTTCTCTGTCAATGTATGCTTGCAGCCGTTTCTGTATTACCTTTAGCAAAACTTTACTTGCATGGGATAGCAAAGAGATTGTCCAATGATTTCCAGATTCCATTGGGTCACCTCTCTCTGGAATGGGCACAAATACGGATCTCTTCCAATCAGTTGGCCAGATAGTCTTCTTCCAAATTTCTTGGCATAGATGAGTGAGTGCCTCCTGTGCCACCACACTTTCTTAAACGATTTAATTTTTATTCCATCAATTCCTGGTGCCTGGTTCTTTGCCAATTCCTTCAATGCACCTTGGACTTAATCCTTCAGTATCATTGGCTCTTGATCATATGCTACCTCTTGAAATGGCTTGACATTAACCATTAACTTTCGGTACAGTGACTCTGTGTATTCCTTCCATCTTCTCTTGATGCTTTCTGCATCATCATTCAGTAATTTGCCGAGTGAATCTTTCAACAATGAAAGTCGAGGCTTGAATTTTTTCCTCAGTTCCCCCAGCTTGAGACATGCTGAGCGTGTTCTTCCTTTTTGGTTTTCTGATTCCAGATCTTTGCACATTTTGTGGTAATATTTGGCTTTATCTTCTCAAGCTGATCTTTGAAATTTTCTGTTCAGCTCTTGGATCTCCTCATTTCTTCCATTTGCTTTAGCATC